GGATACGTCTATACTGCAGAATATTGAGGTTGAGTAATACCTGAATAAAGAAGGAGGAGTAAGAATACATGAATCATGTCTTTCTTTAGATCCTCTCTTTTGATAGAATAAATATAAATTTCTCTTTCTCTCTAAAATTATACTCTCACTTACATGATGACATTCATTCCAGTAAATTGCTGAAACATTTGCAGTATAACTCCCAACAGTATTCTATTAATAAATTAAAACACTAGTGTGAATGGATTATAAATAACTGACAGATTTGTCAATAACATTTACTAGTCACACACATAATGAATTTAATATTAATAATGTTATTATTCACAACCTATTATAATCTACACAACCAAAAGTTTGGAGTCTGAATCAGGATGATACTAGCCTGAATCAGTCGTGAAATCAGTACTGGATCATGTATTATGGGCAATCAGTCACGATACAGTCATGAAATCGGTTGCGACACAATCATGAAAAGGTCTTGCACTGGTTCAGGCAGGAGCATCAGGCATGATCAGCAATGAAACTTGTCAGGACAGTACCAGTACTGATATCAGACTTGATTCGTTCATTTTGGGCAATATTGCTGATTCAGGCATGATTACTTTTGGTTGTGTAATCTACCATACCTTTCCAGTATCCTCCATCTAAATATGTCACTAAATACGTCCCTTAAAGAATTGTTTGAGTTCTGTACAGTAAACTCAATGTCGTTCAGTTCTTCCTTTATCTCTTTCTCAGTGTAGTCCTTACGTAACCTGTGGAGGGTCTTATCTGCTTTCTTGCTCTTCCCTTTCTTCACTAGCCACCTGCAGTGAGGGAATGATGCATTGGAATATATAAATGGGCATTTGTCAGCTTCTATGTTGTACAAATCAATCAAACAATCATATAAAACTTTTTTAAAGTAAATTTTGTGAAGCATACAAGTAGAATCAAACTGCTGCACATGTATGTACATCTATGTACATTATTAAAGTTACACATTCCATTTATTAATCATTAGATCTACTGTATTTACACATGACATCTACAATAATGTTTTGCTTTCTCATGTAGCTTTTCATGATAGCATGGCCAGGGGGCTGGTTATTATTATTATTATTATTATTGTTGTTGTTGTTGTTATTATTATTTATCATTGTACCTGGGTGTCTCTGGTAAAAATACCATTCGAATGATAAGTGCAACAGCTAACACACACTGGAGACCCAGTGCTATCCGCCAACTAAAATCAACTGTATGAACAGCAACACTGACACAAAAACTGACCTAGAGGGAGGGAGGGAGAGAGAGAGGGAGAGAGAGAGAGAGAGGTGGGGATAAGTTAACAGAAACAGAATAAGGACTAATAATATACAAGAACCATTAATAAAGTTAAGAATAGTAAAAGTGTTACAACTAGGAAAGTATGTTTGGCAATAGAGTATGTCATTAACTCATCACTAATCTAAATCTAACTATTATTAACAAGAGAATACTGTAGGTATCATTATCATTATTATATGTACTCTTGATTATTAATTTATTATTATTACCATTATGCCGGCTGTGATGAAGAGCTGGTTCAGTGAGACTAGCCGCCCTCTTAAAGTCTTTGGTGCCAGCTCAGCATTATATACAGGAACAATCATACTCAATATACTACATGTACATATAAGGAGAAAAGGTTTTTAAATACATTAATATTACATGTACATGTACACATGTAATGTGAGGACTTACCCTACACCAATCCCAGTAACCATTCAACCAACCAATACCATCCTGGAGGAAAGAGTAAAAGGGAGGGAGAGGATAGAATAATAAAAGAGACATACATGCACAAGTACATGCTACGTGTACATGTACATGCTATACAACAGTAATGATTGCATTGTGGACTGGATCAGAGAACATGACTATCATATTATTTGATATTACTATCTAATCAGCAATTGTTAGTGATTATAAGGATTAATAGAGCTCTTTGACAAAGTCAGCAGTTTATACAATGCAGCAGGTGATTTTTATAATTCATAGAAAGTTGCTTCCTGTTATCATCCAAAGACAATTATAGTATTATAGTTTACATAACTGGGCTGGCTGTTCTGACTTATAATGGATGCTTGTTGTACAGTTAAAAAGAAAATACTATTTTTTTACATAGACTGAGAGGGAGAGAGAGAGAGGAGGGAGGGAGGGAGGGTAAGGTTAGCACTGTATACCGTATAGCCGCTTAATTTCGAGGGTACAATTTTCACTGTTTTCGCGGATTTTCCGTACCTGCGAAAGTTAATTCTGTAAAATTATCTGTATCATACATAAACACGTGTGCTTTAAAAT